ATCTGAAAACTAATTGCACAAAATAAATTGAATTTAATGAAACTTGTATTGTAGTCAAATGCTAATCTATATTTTGTAAAATGTTTCTTATTTTAGCAATTAAAAACATTTTGCTCATTTAAAAAAAAAACTAAAAATATAATATTTTTAATTTATTATATATTACCCCTAAATTATTATTGTTTCTTTATCAGAAATTCGGTTTAGCGTTGAAATTCAGTAGTTCTTAAAATAGGGGAGGGGGTCACGAAAAATTTTTATGAATCACCACTTTTTTATTTTCGTGTTAAATGTTAATTTTCTTATTAAAATTGCTAATTCTTTCCTTAAACAAATTATTCTACAAAGTTGTGAGTATGCTACATTCACTTTTATGCAATTTTTATTTCTTGAAATTATTTGCACCTATTTTATCAAAAATGCTAGAAAGCGCATAAAATATGAACCTCGTACAATGTTGTTTTTGTATATTTTTGACTCTTCTATGGTGATGGCTGTGGTAGGGGGTCTTTTTTAAATTTGAAATTCTTTCAGAATTCATTAAGGACAAATGTTAGAACGACGTGAAATCGATAATTTTCTTGAAAAATTAGAATATGTCCTCAACTTATAGCCTCAATTCAAAGGTTTCCTTGAAAGCTTTATGTACTTAATCAATTGAATTTTTGAAAACTAGTTGCATAAAATACTAATTGAATTAAATGAAACTTATATTTTAGTCAGATGCTAATCCAGATTTTCTATTTATATTTTGTAAAATGTTTCTTACTTTCATCCTCATAACTGGCTCGACAGACCGTTGTGGGCCTACTTTAAAAGATCCAGCCAGGTTGTTCTCCTCTTGGCCGTGGACATCCAGTTTTTGATCTTAATACCATTCAAATCAGACCATCTCTTTTTCGGTCTTCCCCTTGGTCGTTGTCCAAAAGGGGTAAAAACAACTCTATCACTTTCCATTCTCATGAGATGACCAGCCCATCTCATTCTGTTCAGTTTAACAAATTTTAGAATGTCAATATGTCTAAAAAGTCTGTAAAGTTCAAAACTGTATCTTCTTCGTCAATTTCCATTGTCATTTATACGACCAAAAATAGTTCGTAGCACTTTTCGTTTCTTGCTTTAGTAATTAAAAACATTTTGATCATCTAAAAAAAAGTAAAAAGGTAATATTTTTAATTTATATTTCAATTTGCATATCTTTAGATTATATATTATTTTTTACTTTTTCTTTGACAACTATCGTTAAATAAAAGTATTTTTGGGGGAAGAGGGCAAAATTTTTGTTTTTTTAAAAATGTGGCCGAAATTTGTATCCTTTTTTTAAAATGTGGTGTATTATAATTAAAAGGTTGTTGCAGAGGATGTTCTTTCGGAACATTATTAAGTACTCATTGGACAAGGCAAATGAGCACATTTAAGTATTTTAAACGCTTATTTCCCTGAAAATTGTTTTAATTTTAAAATTTATTTTATATGAATATTATACATCTCTAGGAAAAAAGCGAAGCATTTTGCAAATCCGTTTTTATGTAGAATTACCTATCAGTGAATATATATATATATATATTACTACTTTTTAATTTAAATTTATTTTCTGCACAAATAACTACACATAATTAAGTGGTTTTGACTAAATTAATTCACATTTTTCAGCTTTATTATTAAATTAACATTATTTTTCTTAAATTACCAAAAAATAAATGTAAGAATATAATTTTTAAAATTAATTAATTAAACATATCCTGATCTCAAGAAATTATTATACAGGGATCAATTCTTTCTCACTAACTATAATAAACAAAATTGAAAATTCTGCTAAATTTGAGATTCAATGAAGAATGAAAAAATATACTTGTAAATTGCTTAAAAAAATAAAACATAATAAAATAAGCATCTATATTTTATTGCTAAAATAAAAAATAATTAATTTATATAATTAAACCCACTCGTTCTTTTAAATTTAACATTTTAATTTAATAAATATTTCATCAATGAAATATTCCTATGATAATAACTTTCAGGTATGCAGTAAAATAAATATCATATCTGTATTTCCAAAGCAGAAAAAACAATACGCGTTGTTTGTATTGTAAACCTTATTTGCGTGAAATCTGTTCAAATGTCGGGCCGCTTTTATTCATTCCGCTGGGAACAATGAAAAGATTGCGTCGATGTAATTTCGCATAGTTTGCTGGACTCAAAAAAATTGACTTCGTGTTAGTTTTTCTGGAAAATTTCGATTCTCCATTGAACTCTCATTGAATGGACATTAGGTTGCGGGAAAAGAGAAGGAACCAATCATTGCAATGGCCATAAAACTGATTTTTGTTGTGAAGTAAAGGCGTTACATGATGGACTTGTTTTCTTACCTTCAGAAATCACCGTTGCCACTCAAATGAGGAGTTCATCGTTGTGCGTTCATCCACCTTTTATCTTCCGTAGCTAAATGGCATAATGTATGTTATTGCCCATTCAGCGGGAACCAGCAAGGTTTGTGATTGCGTGACTCTTCTTCCCCTTGAGCGGCCTGGTGGCCAGCGCTCTGGTCTTTGGTATCCCAGGCTTCAGGTTCGAATCCTTGCGGTGGCATGGATGTTTGTTGGTGGTTCGGAATCCCCGTTAAACTGTAGGTCCCGGTCTGTTTAGCCCTCGTGCGCACAAGATGAGCGTAGAGCGACCAACCAAACCAAACCAAACTTCTTCCCCTTAAATCAGGTTGAGACTCATCATAAACTTATTATTTAAATGACCAGGTCTATTTTTTCAACGTAATACACCCTCAAGGGATTAGGTGAACATTACTCTCAATAAAAGTTTCGACGTGCCCTCACAAAGTGAATCTCACCGAGATTCTCTTGGGTCATATACACTTTTTCTTTTTTTCCCCTCGTTGCTCCCTCAACCCCGTCCTTTCCCAGTTAGAAAAGTTGAGTGAAAAACATCCGTGGGCCTCATGTATATCACGAACAGCCCACCGATGGATGTTGAGGGGGGAACAGTGCCTTCCACTAGGCCTTTTATGGGTAACTAATCCGCATTGGTGTGTCATTTAAAATAACTTCTTGAATCAGGTAGCCTTACTATGGATGCAAGATGCTTTATACAAAGTGTCGCAAAGGCCGTTGGGTCTCCTCGTTTTTAAAACAGGGACTGCAACGGGGCCACCACTGAATTCGAATCTCAGCGCTCCTGCGCGCTAGCTGCGCAACGTTTCCAATGGGAAAACGAGTCAGGCGGGGATGTACATCCGTAGTTCAAGGATGACAATGCGAGTCCAGACAGAAGAAGTGGAGAAGTCTGTTAGAAGTAAAACAAACTGCCAAAATTTAATGACATTGTCCGCATATTTCATAGATTTAAAAACCACACGCATTCAATAAGCGCTCAAACTCAAGGAAATCCCTGAATGCATCATCGAATCGTGGTAGAACTCGAAATCGTCTTGAAAGACAAATGACACGAACCCCCTCAAGTGGTTTGCGTTACATAATAATAATAGGACCTGATTGGCCTAGTGTCTAGCGCTTTGGAGCGCGGTGCCATAGGTTTCGGGTTAGAGTCCCGACAGTACCATGGATGTTTGTAGTGGTTCGGAATCCACTTTAAGCCATAGGTCTCGGTCTCATATGACTAAAGCGTCACCGAGGCAAGTCGGACTTCCACCTACGGATGCTCCATTTCAAAATAAGTTGCCCTTGTTCCCTCCAACCATGAGCAGTTTATTCATAGGATGTCTGTCCCACACTGAGGATTAGACACACATAATAATAAGTTAGATCATACATAACATAACTAAATGCATCAATCTCTTTAATCTATCTGTACTTATTTCAAGAATAGCAATAATTTTTTTGTTTCTGTTTGAATTTGGCCAAATGAGCATCCTTTTATTTATTCACTTTCTTACCATATTTTTCAATCATATTTACCTACTTAATGCAGAAGGCGCAGTAACTTACGAAGTTTATTCTGCATTGCGTCCTCAAACTGAAGGTGTAAATAGTTAAATAAATGCCCAGTGGTTAAGGCGACGTTTTTCATGTCATCCATTCAAAAGAGATTCTTCTGGACTTTCCAACATTCAAGTTTATTGGCGTGCCTGTGAATTCACAATGCAATTCATTACAAGTTACATTTAACTTGGTCATTGAGCAGTTGAATCATTACAAATAGTAGAATTTAAATGAACTCAAAAACTTTTCTAATCATGATAATGATACGCTCAACTCGCCAGATCTCTAAATTAAACATTAAACATATTTTGTAATGCAAGGGTATGCTATACAAATGTTTGTCTTTTGCATTTGCTAATCTGATGGAGCTTATGGAGCATATGGGCAACGGGTGTACCGGTTACGGAGTTCCAATGTGGTTTTAAGAGCCACTAAACCTCCACATCTTAAAGTTAATTAAAATATCTGCACTAATGAATTTGCTTAAATTATTGAATATTAATGTTGAAGAAGAATAAAAGAATTTTAGAAAAACATCTTCTGCTTGAGAACAATTAAAGCAGGAGATCGAAAAAGCAAAAAGCTATTGGTACAATTAGGTGTTCGTTAGATGAAAAAAAATAAATAAAATAAAAATTGCCATATACAGGTTACAGCATAAGTGAATAAGAAAATACAGGTTGCTTAATGGAACAAAGCTACAACAAATACACCAATTCAAAGTAAACAACAAAAAAAACAGTACATGTAGGTACAAGTGTTTCTTGTTGTTGTTTCTTATCCCACTTGGCTGGCCACGAGCCCATACGTGCTCATGATTGAAGGGGAATGAAGTAGCTTCTGTTGTGATGGAGCACCCCGTAGGTAGAAGTCTGACTTTGGCACAGTGACGCTCTTACAGTCCTAGGAGACCGGGACCTACGGCTTAAAGTGGATTCCGAACCCCTACAAACATCCATGGCACCGCCGGGATTCGAACCCGAAACCTGTGGCACCGAGCGCCAGAGCGCTAGACACGGCCATTCAGGTCCCAAATTTGTGAATGCCAACGGCACGCGATGTTTCCAGGTGATCACCCACTTAAGTACTGACCTCGCCCAATGATGCTTGACTTCGGTGATCTAACGTGAACCGAGGTACAAGTAAATGGCGCAAATGGAGCACATAAACATTAAATAAATGGTAAATTGAAAAAAAATACAAATAATTAACAAATAATGACATTCCAAAAAATAATAATAATGAAGTAAGATAAAGTGGCAATGGATTTAAGAAATATAAAAGTAAGGAAAAAATGGCTGTAAAATCAGGCTTCTTATTAACAACTTGACGAAAGTTTGGAGTGTTAGTTCTTTCCTTAACATTTTTCTAGGATGTTCAAACCTGGGGCAAACCTAAAAAGCAATGCAATCGATATTCTGCAAGCCATTTTAGATAAGATCAGTTGAACACAATTTAAGTCTGTTTAAATAGAAGTTATACATATCATAAACTCAGTACTTTCGAAATTTGTAAAAAAAAAAAAAAAAAAAAAGCTGAGCATTAAACCGTTGGGGAATCGAGATAAAGTGCTTCTAAGTGACAGTTTTTGTTTGTCGCTCTACTGTTATCTTGTACACACTTTAGGTTAATTAGATTGCGATGTACAGTTTAACGTGTATTCTGAACCACTAACACACGCCACTGCGAGGATTCGACCCTGAAGCCTGTAGTACCCAAGGCCAGAGAGCTAGCCAACAGAATACACGTTGCTAGCCGCTAGCCTCACGATGTACATTCGGATTAAATAATTACGCAACTGCAATAAAATCCACTTTTCAACAGGCCAGATCCGTGGCTCAGTGGTAACGTGCGCCGCTATTAAGGCTGAATTATAAACAAAATAACATTTTTGTATCTATTTATCTCGAGTAAGCACATACTTCAATAAATGTATGACGTGACAGTTTGGATTTGGTTTGTCGCTCTACGGTTATTTGGTGCTCACTTTGGGCTAATTAAAGGGGGCCCGCAGCTTAACGTGAATTCCGAACCACTCACAAACATCCCTGCCACCGCCAGGATTCGAACCTGAAACCTATAGTACCAAAAGTCAGAGAACCAGTCAATTGGAAATCAGTGATGATTCTATGCATAATGCATTACACAGATGATTGGTTTTGCCTCTGAGTGTTGTTTCATAAGATTTTGGTGTATTAAAAATAATTTCAGTCTCCGTTTTTGATTGTTCAGTCAGCTCTTTCAATGCCGAATGTTCTTATATATCTATCAAAGTGATTGCCACTAAATCACGAACGTTCCCTGAAAGGCTTCGGAACACACTTTCAGGAGTAACAGTCTCATATTTGCATGTCTCATGGTGGAAGATGTGAAAACTCCAACCAATCATTTCGGTCATCATTACATGTTATCGCAATCAATGTCGAGTCGAGTTTGACTGCAGTCATTGCAATGCAGATTGGTAGAGAATTCAAACCTGAGACTTCCTGAACGCTAACTGGAACTACTGGTTTTCTAGATGGAAAACATTATAAATATTATGGGACAATATCAGATCATTTTTAATCCGTTCTTCTGAAACTCAAAAACATTTTATATCTCCAAATATTAGTTTTCCTTCAGTTATTTGAATGTTGATTGAGATTCTAAAAATTTCTCTCTAGTGAATTGAATTAGGCATGTTTTTTTTTCAATTCCTTCTATTCGCTCACACTCTCCCTATATATATCTTGTTCACATTTTCAATCGTTCATGAAACACTTTTGATTCATCCACTCAAGTTCAAATACATTTTTTGAAACTCGTAGTGGAGGACACTTGATGTTAATACAGTCTTTTCAAATAGTAATTCATTCATTAAATTTAATTAATTAATTAAAATATTTTTTAGATTTAAGTTGCATGTATCTACCAATAGATGGCACCAGATGTAAAAGGAAAATTTCAACTTTATAGTGAGAAAAAAGTAGGAATTGAATTTAAAATTTTTTTTATCTAACGTGTTTACGATCGTTTTACAGGCGAGTTTCACAAGATGTTGTTCCTGGCAGTTATTGTGCTTATGGTGCCCTCCGTAGTTTTCAGCTTCGCTTTGGATGCAAAAGCAGATATCCTGTCATTGGTGGCCCCACCAGGTAATTGTTTTTTCTTCTCTAACTATTCAATTATGTTGATAATGCACAAGATGCCTAAAAGTCTATATAAACTCAAGAGTCAAAACATTATGACCACCTGTCATATATAAGATACACAGACAGACATACAGAAGACAATACAGAAATTAGTGAAATGATTCTTCAGGCTCTCCAGCAGCAGTTAAATACCACTTCCACCGGATCACGTGCCTTCCACGTCCTCCAGGCGAGTTCATTGCAAAATATAGGGGTGGTCATAATGTTTTGGCTCTTGCGTGTATGCGGAAAATGCAAAGATGTCCTTGATGTATTTATCAATATAGCCAGTGCTTTCCAGTATCTGTAAAATGGTGACCAAGAGTTTTATAACACTTCATTTGAATTCCATGCACTATTTTTAATACCAGAATTCGTCAAATTAGCTTATGATGCATATTAATTTGTTCGTAATATTTGGAAAATAGTTAATGCGCAAGTGCATAAGTCATTGTTAACTATTCTATAGTATAATTTAAGAAATGTCTTCCTTATAAGGAAAAAAGAATTGCAAAAAGCATTATCTTCTATAATATTTAGCAAGTTTCTCACATCGGAAGAGTCAATCAAAGAGAGAAAGTAATTGCTTTTAAAATTTTCGTTAAAAATGCCGAAAAAAATTAAAGTTAAATAGCTTAAAAAAAATATTACTTAAAAATAAGACAAACAATTGCTATCTGAATATCGTGTTGTTTGTTTCTTATTCCACTTGGACGATAATAAAATCTAGACCAAGTCCATAAACACGTGCGTTCTCAAGGAAAGGGGAGCAGCTTCTGTTGAGATGGAGCACCCGTAGGTTGAGGTCTGAATTGGCTCCGTATCGTCGAAGAAGGAGGGCAGTCTCTTCCGGGAGGACTTTTAAGGGAAGACTTTTAAGCATTTGAGTATTCTATGAGAGTATTGTATTTGAAAAAAACTGTACTTAAGCCCATACTGTAATGTATACGATATCTTCTGATTCTTTCGTCATGATCTGAAAACGTGATCAAAGAATATCTGTGGGAGTAGCAAACATGACAGCGAAATTCTCAACTAAACAGATTGGAGCAGTCGTGTAACAACTGGTGATGCCTTTGTACGAATATCATTCTTTTTGATATGTGGTTTGTGAGGCAAGAAGTTGGATGGAGCTTTATTATTAAAACAATTAACGCCGTATCTCATCTTACGGTTGCCATATCAGAATTGTTGGAGATGAAAGAGTGTGAAAATAATCATATTGGACGGACTAGATGGATTGGACTCTATCTTCAGCAGATTCAAATTCTATCGAACGCGAATTGAACATCTTACTATTTGATTGAATTCACCTAAAACAACTCATCCTGCACTGACTGGCAGATAAAAGACGAGGTTGCCGTAGGGAACTGGAGGCAACTAATATTATATAGATACTCATGGAATTCACCCAAAACTATTTACCCTAAAAGGACACTGGCATATAAAAGACGAAGTTGATGTAGGAAACTGAAGGAAATTTGTTACTCATTACATCTACGTAAAACTACTCATCCGAAAAAGGTACTGGTAGATAAAAGGCAAGATTGCCGTAGGAAATTGGAAGTAATTGGTGTTAGAAAGACACTTTGAATCCACTTAAAACTACTTATCAGTCGAAAAAGACTGGCAGATAAGACTGTCGTAAGAATGGAGGTAATTGGTGATAGGGGCACACCATGTTACTCATTGACTTACCCCCTGCGCTCCTACCTGCGCCACCCTATCTAAAACTGCACATCAGCTGAAAAGACACCGGCAGTTAGACAAGAATACCACAAAAACTAGGAGATAATTTCTTGTAATGAATTGAAATGGGTGTCACATAATCAGATATAATCACATTCTAAACTGAAGATCGCATATTTCTGTGCCTCTCAACCAATTCTCTTGATTACATATTATCTTTATATTTGTGTTTCATAATTAGTTAATTTTGTAGTGTTAATGGCCTTATATATAAGTCAAAATTAATTTCTAAGCATCTAGATTAATACTGCGCTGTATCAAAGACATTTTTGTTCATAATTTTTGCATACAATTCTACTACTGTGTTCAAAATGTAAAACTATTTTTCAATTTAATTTTCCAGGTTCTATGGTATTTCAATTGTTTTTCCTTTTTAGATTGCTGGTACTGTCATTGATATCTGTGGGGAATTTCACATCAAAATATTCATTAGTGTTTGAGTTACGCTTGGTTTTGTGAGATGCTAAAACTAATGCTAAAATTGATTCCGGCGATTTTTGAAATGTCTGAATTCATTGAGCAAGAGCTTGTGTTAAATTTTGTTTGCGGAAACGTCTAGAATGCTGTAGAAGGCATTCGGTGGGCATTCCTATATCGGAAAGAAATGTTTACAACTGGTACAAACAGTTCAAAGAAGGCAGAGGACGCGTTGAACACGAAGAGCCCTCTGGTCGACCACCAACCTCAACCGACGAAGCTCACGTCCTAAAAATTAAAGATTTGGTGCTTGCAAACCGTCGATTTACAATTAAAGACTTTGCTGCCGATGTGGGATTTTCAGAATTCCATTTTAAAAGATGTTTCGGGCCTCCAACACGCCAAATCTCGATTGGAACCGAAAACACTGAATGCGCCAACTCATACTGCATTGATTCTTCGTGACTTTTTCTCCAAAAATGAAACCCATATGTCTCTACAACCACTGTATTCACCTAATTTAGCTTCGAGCTACTTCTGGCTATTTCTGGCCCTAAACTCAAAAGACCACTCCGGGGACACCGTTTTGGGCTGAGGGTCGACCAGAGGGCTCTTCGTCTTCGGTCTCAATTATTCGGTTATTCAGTGTTTTCGGTCCCAATCAAGATTTGACGCATTTGAGGACCAAAACATATTTTAAAACTCCAACATCATCAGCAAGGTCTCTAATTGTAAATAGACGGTTTGCAAGCACCAAATCTTTAATTTTTTGGACATAAGCTCCGCCGTTTGAGGTTGGT